AGATATTTTATCCAAAGGGCGTGTACCTCAAAAAATTCAAAGTGATCAAGGGAAGGAGTTTAAAAATGAACCAGTTAAAAAATTCTTCAAAAGTTTTAACATAAATTTTTTTTACGCAACTGACGGTGAGATTAAATGCGCAATAGTTGAAAGATTTAACAGAACATTACGCAATAGATTATATAGATATTTATATTATCAAAATACGCATAGATATATAGATGTCCTTGAAAATATAATCGATGCATATAATCATTCCTACCACCGAATAATACAGATGACGCCATCTGAAGTCAATGAAAGTAATCGTTCAAATGTTTTAGCTAATATAAGAAAGTCTCATCCTAAATTCAAAGATAGAAGAAAACCCTATTCAATTGGTGATACAGTTCGCATATCTCGTGATAAAGAAAAATTTGAAAAAGGTGCTACAAGTACATTTACTGAAGAAATATTCAAAGTTGTAAAAGTGAAAAAATCTCCACAAGGATATATTTATCGACTTTCTGACTACGAAGGTGAACCGATAACATCAATTTTTTATCATTCTCAGTTATTACATGCTAACGAGCCTGATCTATTACAAGTTAAAGTATTAAAGACGAGGATAAACTCTAAAACTAAGAAAAAAGAATATTTTGTGAAGTGGATTGGATACCCTGATAAATTTAACAGCTGGGTTAAAGATGTGGAATCAATCTGAAGAACATTTTGTAGAAGTGGTTTCTAATGATTCACTGGACCATTTTCCAGAAAATACCCTTAGTAAATTCTCGAATAAACTACCATATTCATTGAAGTTAGATGGTGACTGGGTAGTTGGGGTACAAGAAATATTTTATCCTGTTGATGTTAGACCATCGTCATTTAAACTAGAAGTTCAACTGCTATCTAACAATTCTGTTACTGGAAAAATGATAACCGATATCGATTTAGAGGAAACAGACGATACACATAAAATTATCGAGAAAATAAATAGAGCTCTCCTCGATTTATATAACGATAATACAAGCAATAAACGAAGTAAAAGATCAGTTGAGCAAACTCTTGATAATAAACAGATTGGTGATAATAAATCCAATGTAAACGAGCCTAATGAAAAAAGTAACTCAGAAACGAATTCTGAAAATTTGCAAAATCAATCTTCTGTTAATACATTTGAAACTATTTGGTCACCTGAAACTCAACCAAATGTAGATATTAACACCTTCGTAGCTGAATGGGATGCTAAAAAACTTAGAGAATTGTCAGACAACGAAAGAAGAAATATTTTCAAAACTTTGAGAGAAAAATTCAAAGATAAAATCGATTTACAAAGTTTATACAATGAAATGGACAAGTATGAAAAACAGACTATTGAACAACAACAGCAAATCGATAAATTACAAGCATCACTCAAGCAATTTGTTCAACAAGTTCATGATTTACAAGATCAAATCGGGAAAAAAGCTTCATTCAATAATGAGAAAAATTCAGAAATCGAAAGTATCACAAGACTCAAAGACAATACCATTCAAACATTAAGAGGTCACATTCAACGTCATGAAGAAACTATCGAAAATATACGGAAAGAGATTAGATTAGAAAAGAACTCAATCACAATCTTAATATTCAAATAGCTAAACATGAAAGAGATATGCAGGAATTTTCAGAAAACATATCAATGATTCAGAAGAAAGACAGAAAATATACTTAAGCTTGAGGAAAATAAGAGACAACACGAAGCGTTTTAGCAGAAACAATAAAAGAGAAATGAAGAGAAAATACGAAGAAGAAATTGAAAATTTGAACAAACAAATAACTGAGCTTAAAAAAGTCCAGAATGAGAGTCAAAAAAACTATGAGATGGAAAATAATCAATCAATAGATGTAATATCTAGTAAGGTTGCTGAGCTCAACAAATGTAATGATAATATTACACTTTTAAATACTAAATTCAATACATTGATAGAGCAACGAGACAAAGAGATCAAAGAAATTAAAGAAAAGCTTATAATTCTACAAGAAGAAAGAGATAATCTTAACAAAATGAATATTGCTAACAATGATACTCTTGATCAATTAAAAATTGAAAATAATGAACTGAAAGGAAAAAAATCCGAGTTGCTATTCGAGTTAGAGAATAAAACTAAAAACATCGAACAAATTCTGAATGAAACAGAACGAGTTAAAAGATCTTTGGAAGAAGAAAAATCTAGAGTTGAACAACAGGGGAAGATTCTTTTACTGCGATTATCCGAACTTGGTATTATCAGTAAAAGTAAGGGTAAAAATATTGAGAAACCCACTGATATAGAATCAGTTCCCGGTATCTCCTATAATGATGGTAAAATAATCATTTTCCCAGGAGTGCATGAAGGAAATATATTTGTTCCCTATTTTCCAGATATAAATTTCATTTCTGCTCTAGGATTTGATTCTAATTCGTATTTGCAAATGCTTCAATCTTTCAACAATGGAGCTAAATCCTTCACTGGGGTGAATAATTGCAACCTTAATTTGCGTTCTCATTTAATGTTTATTCATTCAGACATTGTAGCTGAACATTTTGTTGGAAATAAATCTGCACGTGTTCTGAGAGTTCTTCCATTAAAACGAGGTGATAAATCAGAAATTGTTCATGAGAGATTTCTGAAGCCATTTTATTATCCACTAAGAACTAACCGTATCGATGATATAAATTTTTTACTAACTGATGAGATGGGTAATCAAATAAAATTCGCATCAGGCCGAGTTCTTATTGGTTTACATTTGAAAAGAGTTTGAAACTATATAAGAAAAACTGTAATACTAATTAGCTATTGAAATGAAATAAAGATAAAATGCAAAGAAAAGTTTATTGTTCTTGTGATTCTAATTTCACTCACTTTTATAAAACTCAAGCTGGTTCAGGGTTTTCGGATATCAGTGTCTATAGAGGTTTTCCATATCAAAGAGGTTATGGTATTGGTACTTTAATCAGAAGATTTGGAATACCGATTCTCAAAATGTTTGGTAAACATGCACTAAAAACTGGAGTAAATGTGGGACAAGATATCTTAGATAAGAAAAGAAATATCAAACAAGTTTTAATAACAAGGGCTAAACAAGGTTTAAAGGAAGCTGCTAAAGAATCATTATCTAAAACATCTGATTATATAGAGCAAAAAGGCTCTGGTGTTAAACGTAAAAAAACATATAAGAAAAATAGAAGTAAGAAAAGAAAAGTAAATAAAAAAGATATTTTTGACTAATATGGAGTATCTACATCAATCATCAATGCCTGCAAGTAAAAGTGAACTTTCTATATTCGTTGTTCCCCACCAAGTCGCCATTGATACATACTATGAAGTTGACTATAGACCAGCTGCTAGTTTAGAAAACGGAAAGACTTATGAGCTTAATATTCCTGCATCTGAAGATTTCACTGACTTAAGTGCTACAATGGTTCATATTAATTTGAATATTTTGAATGATAAAGGTCAAATAGTGGACAAAGAAAATACAGTTAAACTTGTGAATAACTTTGGTAACGCGCTATTTGAACAAGTTGATCTTATTCTAGGAACTGTCAATACTTCCTTAGCAAATAATATGTATCATTATCAAGCTTATCTTGAAAATTTATTATACCGTCATCCTTGTGAAGCCGAAAAAGGTGTTATCAATAAGGAAACAAACGTTCAACCTAATAAAACTTATGAACTATACTTTAGATTAAATGTGCCTATGTGTACACAAGACAAACTTCTATTGAATGGTGTACCCATCATATTTAAGTTCACTAGAAGCACCTCAAGTTTTCCTTTAATTTCAATTACTGATACAAATTATTCTGTTAAAATTAACGCCTTTTCTCTGATATTGAGACGGGTTAAACTATATCCTGATGTCCAAGTTTCAATTGCGAAAACTTTAGAATCATTTCCGGCTAAATATTTTGTAACTAGATCTGATACAAAAGGATTAACAATTTCCAAAGGAGTTTCTAATGTAACAATTGAGAATATTTTCATTGGACAATTACCAAAACGGATCATCATTGGATTCGTCGATGATAAAAGTTTGAGTGGTGATATTCAAAAAGATCCTTGGAAATTTGACCATTTCAATATTAATCATATCTGTTTAAATATTGATGGTGTATTATATCCAAGTATCCCATATACACCTAATTTTGAACAAGATAATGCGGTCAGAGAATTCGTTGATCTATACCGTGTTCTTGGTCAAGATGATGGAGTTCCTCAAATGAAATTAGACTATGAAAAATATTTGAAAAGTACTGTTCTATTTGCTTTCGATATAGGTGGTGACTTAGGAGCAGAGACTGGTGTATTATCTTTAATTAAAAGAGGAAAGGTTAGATTAGAAATAAGATTTTCTAAAACATTAGATAAGTCTGTCAAAGCCATTATTTTTGGACAATATGATAATCTAATAACGATAGACAAAGATAGACAAGTAACAATAGATTACTAAAATGCTTACGAGCATAGATATTAACAATGCTTTGAAAAAATATAAATGGTTTGGTGGTGTTTACCCAATTGATCGTTTACCACATCTTACCATAAAACCTAAAGCTTATGTAATAAACTTAGATGAAAGCTATAAAGAAGGATCACATTGGGTTGCTGTACATTTCAATAACTATGGTCGTGCTTTATATTTTGATTCATTTGGACGTCAGCCTGATGGTTTGATTTTGACATTTATAGAACGTAATGCACCAAATGGATACAGCCATTCATCCATGAAATATCAAGGAAATGATTCTACAGCGTGTGGTTATTTTTGTGTCTTATTCGTAATCTTGGTTAATAGAATTAGAAAATTTTTTTCATTGTTTAAAATTTGTAAACATTCAATGAATGAAAAAATATTGAAAAATATTTTGACTAAAATTCTTAATGAAGATGATTATTAAAATGTATAACCAATTTTAAATGAATAAAGACAACTGCTGAGCTTTGGCTCATGAAATGAGCCAAAGCCAGCAGTTTATTACTACTTATGAGATTATCACTAATCAAGTAAGTTAATCTTTTCCACTTAATTGAGAATTGATTGTTATTTCTTAATTTTCTTGTTTTACCTTGTTAATTGTTTACCAAGGTTAACAATTAACCATTCAAATTGTGTAAAGGTGACAATGGTAATGATTTAGATCAACCAAGCAAAAGTAAATTTAAGTTAATTCAATGAATTTATATTTAATCAGTTGATATTGTTAAGGATATAACAATTAATTATCACACAATTAGCCAAAGATTAATTTGTTAATCATTTTTCAAGGTAACTGATTAGTGTTTTTATCTGATTGTTAGTTTATTTTAAGAACTTTTTTTTTTAATTGTGTGAAAGTTACTAATCATTTTCTCAGATTATCTTAAACACTAGTGATACAATTTACTGATTGTAACGAAAAGAAAGGTCAATATTTAGGATAATTAGTTAATTGTTAAGCAACAACAGTAACAATTAATGAGGAGCAAAAAAGTTTTCACTAACTTAAAAAGTTAGATCATTAGTTAATTGACAATTAAACTTTGTTATTGTTAATTTTTTCTGTTCATATCAAACATTGACTACAATTAAGCTTAATTTAATTACGTTGCATTATAACAGATCAGTTAACAATTAACTTTCTCATGGTGATGATGAAGATACAATTAGAATTAATCTAATTGTCTGAATTTAAATTTAGCTGAGAATTCGAGAAGTCACTTTGGTGATAGTTCTAGTTAGTGAATTCGATTTTTTTTTGTTTCGAATTGTCTTTTTTACCTTCGAACTTGTTGTTCTAACGATCTTTTTTCATCTTCTTCAATTCTAGGATAACAAAACTCGAAACTATCTGAAAGAAGAGAGAAACAAATGTGTCCTCTATTCGACGACTTTGGGAATTGTTCGAAGTACATTCGATAATTGTCGAACTATGAGAAAAATTTTATTCTCGAACTTGATTATGTACGAAGAACGAGATGTCTACCTTAATGGTGATTTTCGAGATGAACTAATTGAGAGATTGGGACAATTAAGAATACCTTCACTCTTTGTTGAGGGTAAATACTTAGGAGTAAGTATGAGAATTTATTTTAATTGTTATCAACAATTTAGCGAAAAAAAAATTCAATTCCAATTGGTCAAGTTTTCCAATTTATTATTACACTTATATAATTTATATTCACTCATTTACCAATTACAATCAGTAAACATGATTAAAACTTTACAAGCAATTAAATGTTGTTTTGATTAAAAAATGTTAAATACTAATATTAGCAACAATCAGTTAATTATCAGCTATAAACTAATATTAATAGTAATTTATAAACGTTTATTGATCAATAGCCGGTAGTTATGTTTATCTAAATTGTTGTATTTAACTTTTTTGGCAATTGCAGTGATTTAGTTAATTGTTATTGCTTATGGATAACATTCAGGTCAAAGAGTACTATTAATTAATTGTTTACAATTAAAAATGGTTAATATGTAACGATGGTGAAAATAATAATAATAATAACAAGGAAGTTTAAATTGTTACCAATTGAATTTAATTTGATTGTTGGTTGAATTGTGATAATTTTTTTTTTCACTTCTTTTAACTGTTGTTTAATTGTTTGTATCAATTGTTTAGTTGATTGTCAAATTGTTGTGTTAATCGTTAGCTGACCGGATGATTAAATTGTTGTGTACTTTTTTTTCAGGTTCAATGTATTCAATTGAAATCTCAATCCATGGTCAACAATCAAAGTTAATTGTTAACAGTTTAAAAGTCAATGTGAAAAAATAATAATTTTTCACGGAAGTTGTTTAATTATAACAACAACAGTGTTGACAATCAGTTAGATTCATTAACTGATTGTTACCATTAATTGTGAGATTTTGATATAATAACAAAATCAAATCAAATCAAGTTCAAGATCCAAGACAATCAAAAAATTGTTCATACAACAACAACAACAACAACAACAACAATTAAAGGTTAATCACAATGAGAAATCTTTGTAAAAATAAATCATATCAAGAATTAAATCATTAAGGCCAAGTAATAATAATTAGTTGATTGTTCACTTGTTCATACGAAGCTAAATTTATCCCGTTAGAACTTTTTTTTTTAACAACTCGAAACTTTTACCTTAATCATTTACTACTAAATGAATTTTAATAAATAGAAACTTTCTCTAACCAAGATTAACTTTAATTGTGCTCTATTATCTTTATCTTTAATTATCTTAATCATCATCGCTTTAATCTGTTAGTTAGTGGCCTTGATTGTGTAGTTGATTGTTGGGATATGAATTAAAGTTTAATTGAGGTCACAATTGAATTGGAGAGCAAAAAAAAAAAGTTAACTTGAGTTTTCTTTCTGCTGATGATCACAATTAACTCGTTGGCCAGTTCAATTTATATCTTAACTTGTCTGGTGTTTAATGATGATTAAGATGATGATGATGATTAGATTGATGATGAGCCTTGATGATCAATAGAAAACTGACCTGAAAGATTGATTAGAACTGACAGATTCGATGAAGGAGAATAGAAAAAGGAAGAAAAAATCGCCAATGATAACAATCTTTTCATCATCTTCATCATCTTTAAGCTCTTTCAAAATCAATTACCGTTAACTAATGATGATGTCCATCTAATGGTCATTAAGTTACTCTATTTTTTGCTTCTCTCCTATTTTCATCTCTCTCTCAACAATCAACTGTGCAATTACAATTAACTTACAAAAGTTGATTAGTCAAAGATTTCTCTCTCTCTCTACAACAATTAACTTTACTTGATTAGTATATTAACCAATAACAATAACAATCTAAAGGAAAGTTAATCATTCCCAATCAATATCAATAACCATTAATAAACATCATCATCATCAACAATCAATTATCAATTGAAGCTTAAGCTTTAATTGTTGTTCAGTCTCTCAACAATTGCTCCTCTTTTTTTTTGCCACTTTAATAACACAAACCAAGGTAAATTCATTATTATTGATCATCATCATAATTAACTGATTGTAATAGTTACTATTTATTTATATTTTGTAATTTATGCATCAATTATAAATTAATGATAATTTTGAGTAACTATAAATAACAAGCAACAATTTACTGGCGGAACAAAAAAGTTTCAATCACAATCATCATAAGTAATATAATGACGGACGATTTAATTTAAATCATTTAACGGTAAATTGTTGATGAATTAACCAACAATTTGAATCATGATTAACATCACGCTAAAAGTACAAGTTGATAATGTTTTTTATTTTACAGTTGATTGTAAAATGATTAGCATTTGTTATCATGATAATGATGATAAGTTAATCATTAGAAATGGTTGATTAGTATCGATAAATTGATCAGTTTGACAATTAAAAAGTTGTCTCATTGAGAAAATGATTCTAATCAATTAATTTTCTATATTGAAATTGAAAGAATTGCTAATTCGAATTTTTTTTCTTCGTTTTTTTCTTCCAATTTATCCCATTCATATTTCAATTTCTCGAAGGGAGTTGAACTGGTCGAGAAACTTAACGAATCGGATAAACTAATGGACATTCTGGTCAACTTTAGGATTCCCGCCACAGCATCGGCCAAATATTTTCAAGTGTGTCCATGTTGTGGTAATGCGAGATTCATCCCATGTAATACCTGCAATGGATCAAAAAAATCACTAATCCATCATTTCACCAGTGATTCAATTACCTTAAGATGCTCCCAGTGTAACGCAACTGGACTGGTCAAGTGTACCAAATGTGATCCAACAACTACTGGACTTACAGATGATAATGTCCCACAAACTAATCCAAAAATGGATAAAGATACAAATCCATCACTTCCGCTTCCTATTACACCTTTACCACCTTCATCATCTTCATCTTCATCTTCATCGTCCTCATCATAAGCAACCAATGTGATTGAAAAATTAGACTAATCAAATCAAATTAAAATCAATAACTTCCTAGCAATTAAAACTAATCATCTAACTACTACTACTAATCCTGCATTCTAATCATCAATCAACTCTAATTGTAAGATTATCATCAAACATCATCTTCAAGCTTAATTATTATTCATTTGTTTTTGTTTTATTTCGTTCACACTTCTTGTTTTACTAAATCATTTTACTAATTGCTAGCAAACAATTAAAGTTTATATATTAATATGTTTTCCTACAACAGTAACCATTCAATTTATCCAATGTTAAACCAATTACCATGTTATTAATTGTTTATCCATTATAATGAAATGTTACTGAACAATTATCTATACCCGGTTGGTTTGCCTAATATGATTTACTGTCTTATTTGGCTAATATAATAATAATACTTTGCTACCTGGTAATAATAATTATCCAGCCAATTTGAACAATCAGTTAATTGGGTTCCAGTTGACTTAATGTGACTTGGAACGTGATTAAGTGTGATGAAGGTGCTGCTTGCCGGTTGCTACGGTTTTCTGGTTTCCGGTTCAAGGAAATACCCCTCAATATGAATACCTGAATGATGAATCTTCTGTCAACGTTATAACCTTGAAAATGATCTGAAAAAAAACAACTAGTATTGATTGTTTACAATTAATTCTTAAATGGTAGAAATATATAAGTTTAATATTATTAAATGTTATTATATTTTTATTAGTTGCAAGAGTGAAGATGAGGCGAAAAAAAGTTCTAACGATAAAGTTTATTCAACTGAACACCGAAGAAGAAGAAGAAAAAAAAATATCATGAATAGGATTTTTTTTTTCGCTCTCATCTTAATTGTTTAGTCTACGATTGTGACAATCAAATGGACTGATTATTATTCAATGATGATGATGAATCTAAATTGGATGAAATTAAATCGTTAATATGCTGATATATTGGTGGTGTTTCGGGTTGAAAGGTCAAATCAGTTTCTAATTTTTTTCTCTCTCTCTTCATGATTCCAAGTCTCATTCAGAACTTTGATTCATATTGTTATCAACATGGTGGATGAGTAATCATCATGCATCGATGTTTTTTTGGGCAATTTTCAAGGTTGGCTCAAGGTTCATCTTAGCACCTTAGCTCTTACTCACGATAACCTTTATTTTTACCGTTTCAATTGGTACCTTAAAGTTAATTTAATATTATTTAAGTTGATTGTTGTTGTTGGTTATTCTCATTTGGGTTCAATTATCACTCAATTCAATTTGAGATTTTGATGGTTACATGATCTGATGATGATTATTTGGCAAGACAAATTGAAAATCAGAATAAGAAAAAAGTTTCAGATAAACTGAATTAACTTTAATCTCATGATTAAACTTGATTACACATTTGATTGTAATAATATTACAAATCAATCGGTTGATTCAAAAGTTAAATTCAAATTTGATACGATCAATAATCAATCACTATCAATGGTATATTAATATATTCGTCTAACAATTAACTTGGAAATTGTAAAGACTTTTAGTTGACTCCTTGAATTATCATCAGCTGATTAACTTTAATTGTATCTAAATTGTCGTGATATCTTTTCATATATTTGGTGTAACAATATTAATTGTGAAAGAAAAATTGTTACATTTAATTGTTGATGTTGTTGTTGTTATTTTCTTGATTATCATGTTGATTGTTTTCAATTTAAAGTTAACACATCATCAAACTGTTAACGGTAACAACAATTTATTAATTGTAACTCTATTTGTTGGTTTAGTTATCATAAATGGTTGAGTTGATAAAAGTGTTTTTTTTTGCTTCTTCTCGCAAACTTGATTGTTAATAATACACTAATTGTTAACTCTACAATCAACTTATATAAAACTAATTTAACAAACCGTTATTAGCACCTTATTAACCAACCACCACTCAATTAATTGTCACAACAACAGTAGACAAACAAACAATTAAACAAGATGGAAATGAAAACAACAATTAGTTGATAGACAATCAGAATAATGATTATAATGATTATCTGATTGGTGATGATTATCAAAACCAAAGTTGATAATAGATAATACTACAATAATCATTATCAGTTATTAGTTAATTGTTAAACCATCAACGACTCCAAAAAAAACTAATTGTGATTAGAAAATGATAATAATAAATTGATTTCTTTTGATTCTGGTTTATAAATAATGTTTAAAATAATCAGCATAGTTTGATAATTGTTGTTGATACAATGGTGATTTTTGATTGTTGATCATCATGATGATCATGATGATTTATCAAAAAGGATGGGAGACTCTGTATATATATGGAAGTGGGTGATTTCTAGAGGGTGTTTTTAATAACGATGAGACTCATAGGGTTGCTTGTATTCATCATAGTAAGAGGGTTTGGTCAAGGTGTATGATGAATAAGGTTTGTAGCCATAACTTGGTGTGTATGAAGGTGAAAGGTAAGCCGGAGCTGCGTAAACGGCTGCTGGAGTTGGTGGCGGTGGTGGTGGTGGAGGTGTTGATGGTACTGGATGATGATATTCTGGAGTTGAAACTGTTACTGGTTCCTTTGCATACATTTTAACATCCGCTGGATCCGCTGGCGCAGTTCCGGGCTCATTTGTGGTCACTGTTGCTCGGAAACCATAATCATCGGCAATATAATCAACTTTCCGGTAAACACCATAAGCATCAGTATAACCATAGGAACCTTTTTTATTACCATATTCATCACCTAATTGATTGATTATCGGGAGAAAATGATTGTTATTAATTTTTGATTTTGTATCGATAATTAAATATTAACTCTTACCCTCTTCCATCCGATGATTATTATTACCATAACCATCATCAATATCGTAGCCAAAACTGTAAGGGTAACCTTTGTTTTCCTGTTTAATTTTGTTAACCAAAAAAGCAGAAGCAAAATTAACTGATTATTAGATTTGATTCGGTTAATTAACTTTCAAGTTCATTCTCGTTATCTAATGTTGATCAATTACTGATGAAATGATGATGATGATGATGATTCTTGATGGTTTTTTATATGTGAAAGAAAAAACTTATTCTTGTTTTTTACTTGATCAAAATCAATTCAATCTTATGGCTCATTGAACAATTTGTTAAATTGTTTGTTTACTTTTGTTGTTTCATGTTGATTGAAAACAAATACTTTGCTGATCATCATGAAATCTGATTGAATCTGAACGAGAAGATCTGAATTTGTAGAGATTAACTTACATAAGATGCTGGCTCTGAATATGATTGCTTATGGTGAGAGTATGATGGTGCTGGGATTGATGGATAAGATCCCACTGGTGAGTATTTAGATGAAGGTGCATACCCATAATAGGCTGGAGAAGATGTTACCATGGTTATCAGGGTGATTCCGAGAAGACACTGAATTTTGTTAGGAAAAGAAGGAAAAAATGAGAGTAAATGATTAGGAGAAATTGTTTGATTCCATTTTCACTGATATTCAACTTTTCATTTGATTCATTAATCTACCTTGAACATGATGATGATGATATTTCACTGAACTCAACTGTAGATGTATAAATATGATGAATTTATGGTGATGAATAAACTTCACTTGGATCGATGAATGTTGCCCACTGGTCACTTCGAGAGTTTATTATCGTGATTATAACGGGAAAAGGTTGAAAGTTTGTTTGAAAGATTTTCAATTTGGTTTCAATCTTTTCGGAAGAAAACTTTTTCTTATTCTTATGTAACTTGTATTTACTACAATGGAAACGTTGTTAACTGGTCAGTTAGTTAGTAATGTCCAGTAATGATGAGAAACTGGTCAGCCTTTTATATTATATACGTGCTGGTGGACATTAGCACGGTGAAAATTGTTAACTCTCTCTCTCTCTCGATCTCCTTTCCTGTTTATCTTCAGGACTCCTCCAGAGTTGATCCATGTTGAGGATGATGATGAAAAAAATGATTACAATTATGAATGGGAGGAGGAGTGGACACTGGTCAAGTAAAAGTGTGAAAAGTGAAAGTTGTTTATCATGGTTAACACCATGATTGTGATAGGGTTTAAATTGTTGATTGAGGTCAAGTGTGAGTATATTAAAATGATTGAAATGTAATCCACAATAAGTGGGTAAAACTTTTTTTCTATTACTTTTTATTACAATTAATTTGATAATCTAATTAAATCAATATTCATTTGATTGTCAATACTTTTGCTACCAATTAGAAACTATTTTCATCAAGAAAGACAAAATTTCTGTTAATTGTTAACAATAACTCAGCGGGCAGTTAATTAAATTTGCTCTTGTTGTTGTTGTTGTCATTTTAATCAAATCAATTCGTGGTCAAGTACAATTTAAGTTAAGGGTCAATCAGAACGTTTTTTTTTTGTTGATTAATTTGACAACAAATCAATTGATCAATTTGCTAATCATTTAACAATTTCCAATGACAATTGATTATTAATCTTGATTCGTTCTTCGAGAGTTTTGTTAATTGTTACAATTAACTCAATCTTAAGTATTTAATTGTGATCACAAAGACGATTAGAAATTGTTACAAGTGATTTAAGGTTAAATTTTTAATTGTCTTCGTAAATTTAATCAAATTAAATTGACAATTTATATTAATCATTTCATTTATATGTTTCCGGATGGAAAATTGTTAAAAACTAATTAACTTAACAATCAGTAATAATTTTTCACTTTTAAATCACAATTAATTGAATATTGGATTACTAAATTTGTTTATTGGTTCATTTGACAACAATTTAATTAAATTGTCCAATTTAGTTATTATACTTATATTAATCACAATTAAATTGAAAACTAATTGATTTGATTTCAAATAATTGAAAGTTGGAAAAATTATTTTCAATTTGAATCAATTGTTAGTCTGGAGATTTGTATTTTCCTAATCATTAACTAATAACATGACAATTTGTTTTCTACAATTAACTAATTGTTAACTAATCGATATAAATATATTATTAACATCAAACTGATTTACAATCATTTAAATTTGATTATTAGTTCCAATTGAATGAATAACGAATTGGAATCAAACTGTTACGAGGAAACTTTTTTTCGACAAAAAAAGTTTTCTATTAACTGTTAAGACTTCCTGATGATGATGATGATGATGATGATGAAGATGAAGATGATGACACAGGATGTGCTAATTATCGCATAGTTAATGAGTTTAATTAGACGAAGACAATTAAGATTAGTTGTTTTGTTTAGAATCACAATCAACTTTTTCCAAGGAGAAAAAAAGTTCTAACGAAAATCAATTGGAACTAATTTTTTTTTCTCCTTCGCAATTGTTACAAATTCTGATAATCAGTAAGAATCAAGAAATCATATTGTTAATTAATTAGTTAATCAGTTGATTTGAAATTGATTGACCTGAAAAATGAAATAATCAACCATCAAATTAAAGTTTTCTGATATTTATTAACAATTTAATCAACAACAACAGCAACAATTGATTGTTATATAAATTAGATTTGACTTTTGGTAATCTAATTTATCAACCAATTAACTAAATGTTAATCAACAACCAGTAATACAAATAATGATAACATTGATAATAATAAATGAAAACCAATTAATAATCAAACAGTTTTCATATTAATCAATTGATTTACAATTTAATTTACTCGATGAAAATTTGTAATTCAAAATGAACCATTGATATTGAAAATAGAAGCAATTTAAATTGTTACCAATTAACAATCAATCAAACTTTTCTGGAAGCAACAATTTTTCATCGCAAGAAATTTAATCATAACAATTTCCTGATTACCTGGAAATCAAACTGAATCATAATAATATCAGAATCAATATTATATATCGATAACCAATATAATTGGAAAAGAAAAAATTTCTCATCAATATTTTTCCATGTTAATCATGGAAATGATGATCAACATGATGATCATGATTATCGGTTGAACTTTTTTTCTTCACCTTCTCTTCAATTGAATCTCTCACCATGAGCCTAATCGATTGCAACAATTTACCTTCTCGGTGGTAAAAGTTAATCACAACAATTTAATCGTCTAAACTTAAGAAGCTTAACAATTTAGTTATCATCATTATCACGATGATGATGATGATGATGATGATTAAGATAATGATGATGAGTATCAATAACCATGTCGAAAGCGTGTCGAAGTGTCAACGATTTAATCATTAAATGTACCAAGAAAAAAATGGATCCAAACTTTAATTAAGTTGATGAAATTTTCGTTTAAAAACTAATTGATTGTCATCGGAATCGATTTAATGTTAATCGTTAGTTAATTTAAATTGATTGTTGATCATTTAGTTTAAATACTATTCAATATTTGCGTAAATTGTGGCACAATTAACGATCACAATTTACTTACATTCCAATTAATCGAGTTTTCTATTAGAAAGAAAAAGTTTCTTTAACTATTAAAGTTTCTAACGATCATTAATTATCTTAACAATTAACTGTATGTACTTTCTTAATTAAGGTGTGTGTATGTGTGAATTTAATTGTGTTTGTTTCTTAATCATGTTCGCAGTGTAACAATTAAGAGGCTCAAAGATTAAGCCTTAATTTTATCTACTAAATTGTTCAATTGTTTTCTTATGAGCGATTATATTGTTTGTTGAGTTAATTGTTATCAAGAATTAACAAAGTTTATCATTACGAATTAATAATTTGATTACTGTTTCGTTATGATTTGTCTTAATTGTTGTTTAACAATCGTCACAATTATATAAAACTAATTAACATGAAGCTCATCATTGGAATCACAAAGTTAACCATTAAAGGTAAACATCCGGTTAATAATTAAATTAACAATTAAAGGAAGCGAATGAAAAAACTTTCAATTTAAATTGTTACACCAAAATGGTTAAGGGATTAGCAAGGAAAAAAATTGATTGCTGGTTAATTGTTGTTCATTTTTATATACCCAAGGTGATATCAGATTAAAACAATACAAGTTAATTAACCTTTTGATTGTTGATGATTAACTCACTGTGATAATCAAGAAACGTTTATCTGGTTAACTTTATTGTCTTATTTTCATTTTTGATTAAACAATTAGTTTTAATTGTTGGTGTTGTTGAATATGTTGATTGTTCCTGATTATCATCAATATTAATCCAGTTAAATTAAGATGATGATTAATTGTATTGATCTTTCATTGAGATTGCAAATCAGGAAGGGGAAAAATTTTGCTAGACTATCATTACAATTAACTAATCACTTTCTCATCGGTCACGTGACAATTAAAGTTTAATATCTCATGTAGAGACAATCAACTGGATCGATTGTTAATTTAATTGTTTTAACAGTTAATTTTAATTTTAATTTATTGTTTTTGTTTTGTTTTGCCATCACTTAATTGTCACAATACATTAAATTGTTGTGATAATTTCAATATTATATTTTATTTAGATTTGATTAACAGAAAGACTTTAATTATCATAAGTTGATTGCGTTCATTTAAAGTCTCTGTAATTGTGACCATTAACATTGGAAATGATTTAATTTAATTGATTAAAATCAATTGATTGTAATATTATGATAACGAGATAATTTGATTTGTTTTTTTTTTGTTGTTTCTTATGCTTGAACATTTCGGTAAATTTTTGAAAGACAATTAAACTAATTAAACCTTTTGTTTGATGATTAAATAAAATGCTAATTAATTGCACTCTAAATTGTAAAATTTTGATTAACTAACTATAATTGTATCTGATTTTTGATTGTTAACATTTACTTTCTTTTGTACATATTGTTACTTATGTAATAATATAATGTTAACAAATAGCATTTCATTTTCATCAACAAGGTTAAGGTTAATTGTGCTGATAAACTAAATATTGTGTAACAATTAACACAAAAAATTATGATTTGTTGATCATTTTTGATTACAGGCCAACAATTTCATCAGGTGTTGATCGGCACGGGATGATTAAATTAATTATATTAACGTTTTTTTTGTGCAAAATAAATGATAAGCTTTTGAGTTGAGCTTTTTGTTTTGGGTTGAAATTATAACAATGTTCATTAATTGTGCTCCTTAATTGTTGATCTTAATGATTGGGTTGTAATTGTTTCAAGCCAATTTAATTGAGATTAATTTAAATTGTGTCCATTCAATTGATGTGTAGTTGTCATGTCATATGTCATGTGTTCAGCTATTGGAATGATATTTTTGTTTAAATATGAATTTTGGTTTCGTCTTTTCTTCTCGTTTCCTTATGTGAGTGTTGATAATTAACTAATTGCTCTCGTTTATTGGGGATAAAGTTGATTTTGCGTGAGTTTCAATTAACATGGAGTAAGAAGGGATAATGAATCTCTTGGATGTCCGGATAAACATTGAGCCTCCAATTCACGGGGATAAGCAAATCGTTCCGGAGCTCTAATGTATTCCAATTGAATTTCGGGATCGGTACCTTCCAACGACATGGCCTTTCGAATGGGAAACCAAGTCCAATCATTTTTCTCCATTAATTTGAACACGTAAGTTTCGGGTCCAGTAAATTCAGTCTTAGGTTTAGTTCGTAAGAGTATCATGAAGTAAAGATAATGCCACATATGATGTTCACGGGCAATGTGCTTCTCAAAGGAAACACCGGCACGATTATCGAAATCAGCTCGTGGCAGGCCACAAATGAAACAAGTATTTCTAAGGATATCCTCTTTCTTTTGCTTCTCTTGACGGAGATCGGCAAAAGTGTCAATGATGATACCAAAGAATAAGTTGAGAATGATAACATTGATGAAAAAATAGAAGAAAAGTTCATAAATAACACGACCATAGTAGAGACTTTCTTGCGAGGATGCAGGTCGAAGGACATCGCCAATACCTCCACCCGATCGAAGGCCATAGTTTATGGTGGTAATCAAACATTGGAATAAAGTTTTACAAGAGTATTCGGTTGCTTGACTTTCCTCTTCATTATCTTGTGGTACATATTCCCGTCGAAAGTCAAAATTGAAGTAAAGATAACCAAAAGTGGCCGCAATGTGTATCAAGATTAACGCCAATAAACAGGTCAAAAGTAAAGACTTTGAGTTTCGTGTAACCGATCGTATAACATTTCTTAGAGTCTCCTCTTGATAAATAACGTGAAGCAAAAGGGCAGAATAAAAAAGCGGATGAAACAGTCCCAAGGTACAAAAGGTCAGATAAACGCAGTGATAGATCAATTCATAGTCCATTAGATTGTTTAACCAGCCCCGTCGATACCCACGATTGATAAAGAAACTAAAAAGATAGACAATAGTAATTATAATATCCAATATACCACAGATATAAATGACCGCTTGTGGACCAATGGTATGAACTAGAAGCCACGTTGTGAGAACAACGGTTAAACGGAAGGCGCCGTCAAAAACTAGATCAAGTGACCTTTTATGAGTTCCAAACAGATATAACCAAAGACCAATGACTAGGCAGGCCAAGTATGACCGATGTTCAAGTCCAACGGGAGTCTCACCAAACGGATAGTAAGAGATCACAATCAGATTCAATAGAACCGCTAATTGGAAAGAAAGAGAGCCCCATTTGGACATGTAACGGCTAATTGCGTGCGAAAGCCGTTTCTTTGACTGAAGGTCACGTTGCCATTCCATCTCGGCCTGGAGAATGTCAACTTGACGGAAAAAATCAGGAACTTTGGAACGAGCTTTCTCATCAAGTTCAGTTCGGTGGAGAACTTTTTTCTTTGTCTCTTCCGTGAGGAAATGGCATTGTTCGGGTACCGCGAATACGATAAACTCAACTCGCTGTTCGGGACTATCACGTCGGACAACCTCAACTTGGGCAGTTTTTTTCTGAAAGAAAGCGATCGCATCACGACAGTCCTCTTGTTTTTGCTCTCGGTTGATTTGCTCGTTCAATTGGACTGAATATCGTTGACACTGGTGACATAGAATGTAAATATTATGACCAACTTCAATCTCTTTCACCTCTTCTGATTCCTCGCCATCTTTAAGAGCTGAAGGGTTACCTCGATGAGCTTCCGTTTCCATGAATTTCTTATACTTTTGATAAATCTCACAGGAATGATGGATAAGGTTGGCGTCCACAATTTTGGTAACTATTTCGGCGAAATCAATATCCGATCGTGATTCAATAATGGCCAGTAACAGTTTGGAAGCGTTAATCTTGAGCGATCTAACATCTTCCATGTACTTAGAGTCCAATTCTGCTCGATTTTTAATCAATGTAATGATAAATTCAATTCCATTGCTTTCACATTTAGCGATACAATTTTGATTCTCATGACATGGACCTTGACAATATTCAATCAGCGTTTTAACGGTTTGGTTGAAAAGGCCAACATTTTCCTCGTTAAGATAATTACCATCGATTGTTTTAGTCTTATGTGAGCCACAAAGTTTGATCAAGAATTTAAATGTTTCAGCGACTAAATTTTGATCTTTTCGTTTATCATTGCGAAGTAAATCTTGCATTTCTCGATAATGATTCTCACATAAAAGTCTCAAAAATTCAAGAATCTCTTCCATGATGGTTACTTCAGGTGGAAGTTTAGGTTTCTTGGGTGAGGCCAGTGAATGACTTATCATGGCGGCAAGTGTATTGGGTGTTATACTTCCGGTTCCATGTGATTCAGCTCTTAAATTAAGGAAATCAACTTCTTCCGGATAATTTGGTTCGACAAAACTACCAACGGTTTTGTTACCCAATGATTTGTATCCCAATTCGGTGGCAGTAATTGCAGAGTTTAAATGGTTTTCCTTATCCTCTTCAATTTTGGCTGAATTAAAGTTATAACTTAATCCACTTCCAGGTTTAGGTGAGGGAGTCAATGTTGGAACAATGATCGGAGGTGGAGGTGGTGAAGGATGAGGAGATGGAGGAACCGGAACAGGAAGAGAGGGTGGAAATTCACTTCCTGGTGAAGCATCTCGATCAGAAATTGATGGTTTACCTGGTGTACTTGGACTTTTAACATGAAACGGACTTTTAAAGCCCGTTTTATATGCTTTCTGGGCCAATACCATGCGATCGTAAAAATTTTTAATAAACTTATCCGATCCTTTTGAGATTTCATTGTAAAAACTTTTCTGAATGTTTTCATTTCCATCATTGAGTAAAGCTTTACCAAATTTAATTGAGTAAGCAAATATATCTTCACTTGGATTTTTCATGATAATTTCAACCACAATTTGAGGTGCATTCAGTTCATTCAGCTCATTTTGAATACATCGTAAATCTTTACAGCTTCTTGGAAGGTAACTAAAGGGTTGAGCAGAAAGTACATATGATGCCGAGTCCATGGTTGGATAAGGTGATGATGAAGATGATGATGATGATGACTGTCGATCTGAATAAGTGCTATTAACATTTCCATTGGCACTGGAATCACAGTTTCCATTACAATTATTGTTACTATTTGCTGGGCCAAAGTAACGCTCCTTCAGATGGAATCGCAAATTTTCAGCCTAAATTTTACACAACAAAGAATAAAACAAGAATTAAAATATAATCTTAAATTGTTTTTCTCTAATTAGTTAATATAATTGAAGTAAAAAAAACAATTGTATTTAAAAAGAAAAGGAAATTAATTTCTCATCTATTAGAAAATGATGTAAACAAAATTAACAAGGTAATGATGAAATAATAAAAGGGACAACAAATAATAAGGTAAATATTTGTCATGCAATCGTTTAGGTTAATCATCATGCTGAATCTAATAATTTGAAATAATATCTTAATTATCAACATGGTGAATTATTGTTAATTGTTTTACCTTGACTTCAAGGCTGAGCTCGTATTCAGTAGGCTCAGGAAGCTCCTTGAATAATAAAGTAATTGGTCAGCAATTGATAAAATAACAAGAATCAAAGATTAACAGAGAAGATCATTAATTATAATTAATGTTAATTTATGGTTATTAGTGGGGAACAAAGTGAATTATTAGTTTGTATCAATCATTGTAAATGAATTAAGAAGGTCAGTTAATTGTTGGTTAGTGTAGTTGTTGTTGTTTTTTTGATTCTCTTTCTCAAGTAAACATGAGTTTCATGAGTATTTCTACTTTTTCTACTTGATTTGTAATTAGTATTTTGTAACATTAATTATGACAATTTGTGTATTTACCTGATTGGTTTTATCATCGATAACAAGTTCAGTTAATATTTGTAAGGTTTGAATGATTACTTTCTCATCGGTTTTAATCTGTTCTTTGGTTCCATACATGACAAGAGCTAAGATATGTTGGATTAGATGTTGAATGAAAAATCCCCTTAATAGATTTTTATGCATCTGAGTATTAATGGGAAACAGGGCAGCGGGCTGATAGAAAACATCAATCAGAACTGACAATTCGGCTTTAATTTTTGGTTCTAATTCGGTTCGTTGTTCGTCAATTAAATTTTTCCAATTTGATTGGACAATATCATCTTGAAGGGAAGATGATAAAAGTAGACCAGGTAAAGAGGATGATGAATCCATTAGATCTATTAATGGTTGATCATTTTGTGATTCTTGTTGTTGTTGTTGTTGTTGTTGATTGGATAGAGTTGTGATTATTGTTGAAGTGGATGATAATGATGATAGGGAAGATGAAGATGATTCGGTTCCATTTAAATAAAGACGAGGTGGCCTTTTACGAAGTGGTGGTGTAGGTGCTCCTTTATTATTATCACCGTTACTAAGTTGATTTGTTGTTGTGGTGGTGGTGACGGTGGTGTTGATAGTGTTGGTGGTTGAAGTTGTGGTTAGAGTTGTGGTAGTTTTGTTGGTAATTGTTAATAATTGATTATTTGAATCGTTCGGTGCTGAGCTTATCTGAACCTTAGGTGGATCTTTTGTCAAAGGATTAATGGGTTGATCAGATTGATCGGAGCGAGAGGTTTCATTACGAGCTAAATTGATGATAAACAAAAAAATGAGACAATAATAATTAAGAAAATATTGTTAACATGGGAAAATTAAGATGAAGATGTAATCAATATCTAATTAGTTAATTAACTCTAATGATGTTTACCTAATTTCTTCTCACGCCAGGTATGAGCATATTTTACAATAGGTATAACCAATTTATCACCAGAGACTAATTTAGTTGATATTTCAATTAATTCACGCATATCTTTTTTTAATTTAGCTTCTAGGTTTTCAGTCACATTAAATCGTTGATTAATCAAATTGTGAAGGTTTTTGATTATTTTATCTAAAGTTGTTTGCTACAATTAGAAAGAGAGAATTAAAGAAAGTAGAGGAAGAAGAAGAAGAAAAAAAAATCGTTAATATTAATGTAATCATAAAGAATTAATTGTTAACCTTGTAACCAATTGTAAATCATTGGTTGATTTGATTTCTGGGTTAAAATGTGATTAAGATTGACTTTTTGTTTCCAGTTTTGTTTAATCAAATCAAATTAACAAGTGGTTAAGATTAATTACCAATTGATAGGAGGAAAATTATATACTTACGCTTGTAGAGGTTGATGAGGTGATGAAAGCTCGTAACATGTAAAGAAATCCTCGAGAAAGATATGATGTCCAGTCGTGGTCAAGTTGTAGTTTTGTCTGTGATGTTTTCATTAGGGTTTCGTTGATATCACCGAAGAGACTTTCAATTAGTTTGGTCATTTTTGATGATCTGCTTAACTCTTCCTGGTGAATTTCAGTTTCAATATGAGAATTGGTCAGTAGTCTACAATAAGCTTCCTTGACCCGAGGATGACAATTGTTATACTCGATAATGTGAGCAATATAATCAAATGGACAAAGTCCAGCACAATCTTTTTCATTGTTTTTGTTTTTACCCTCGGTACAAGCGGCTAACAGGTCAATCAATTTTATATGGAACCATAGTTCACCTCTTTATTGTAACGACTACAGATCATGGATCTCATTAGTTCACGAATCTTTTCACCACCATCCCAATCAAAAATATCCTCTTTGTGAAATTTAAGTTCATTCAATATTTTGGCCTGGACATTGGGCAGCGCTTTACCCTCTGATTTAACGATTGTCAACAGGAAATCCAGGAAGTAGGTTTTTTTACCCTGAGAGATGATAAAGTTAACACACTTTCTAATTGCTTCTTCGTTAATTTCATTGCAAAGTTTTTCGTTGTTGACAAAAATACTCATCAGCGTTTCCATCTCAAGTTTCTAAAAAGATGAAGAAGAAAAAATATCAATGATAACGGTAAAAAGAAAAGAAAAGGAAATAACAAATTACGGGAAGAGAAATGATTCTCCCTGACAGATGATTAATTAATTACCTCAGGTTTAAGAAATCTTTCATAGTGTTCATAGAGCTCTTCTTGATTAGTTGGATTATTGTAGCAAAAATCTTGGAGCAATTCGTGAGTTCGTTCAAAGATTTTCTTTATGTAAGGATCATTCTAATTGATAAGGGAAGAAAAAAGAAGAAAAAAAATTAATTAGATCAAAGTGTTGATAGTTTAAGTAATTAAATCATCATCAACATCATTCTAGATGTATTAGTTATTAATGATGATGGTGATGGAGGTGATTATGATTAAGGTGATGGTTTGATAAATGGGTAATGTGTATTATTGATTGTTGGCTTTATTATCATCTAGATACCTCATCATAATTAATTGACAACAGATCGACTAGAATTTTAACCAATCCTCTTGATTGTAATAGACTTTGCTCCAATTTTTTCGCCTTGTTGGTTGATTTATCACGACAACAGTAGGACAGTGTTTGTAATATACTGTCAACTCGATTGTACCGTTTAATTTGTTCCTCTTTAATGTCAATCAATAAAAGAGCATTCGATTTATCTGAATCAATCAATAGAGGATAATTAGGTATTCCTGGAGGTGGTGAGGGTAAATCGCGATCTTCATCTCGAAGGCCACATTTTATCTTATCTTCGTCGTCTCTTTTTGATTTAGTGTAAACCCAAGTTTCCGATTCTTCAACATACTCTTTCAATACTTCCAAGGCTTTCCTAAAATACTCATAGATTTGAACGTCTTCCTTTTTGATTAACAATTGTACCTGTCGAAGAGCATTAAGAAACTCTTTGCGTTGTTTAAATTCACGTATTAACAATTTCATAGCTCCAGAAACTAATGAATAGGCTTTCGAGTTAATAATAAAACTTAATAATATTTTAACCGATATAAAGCCCATTGAACCATCAAGGTTGGTCTTTGAATCCTCAAAAATGGCCTCAACATCTTCCGATGATATTTTAGACGGTGAACATAAACTGTGACTTTGATCCTTAAAATGAACCAAAATATTGGTTATCCGATAATCTAATCTTATATCATAGATGAAATTTAATATCTCAATTATATTTAAACGGATATCCATGGCCGGTCCAACACCGAATTGACTTAATGGTGGTTTCGAAATGCTTTGAGCTTGTTTATGCTCCTTTAATTTGGTTACAACGACATCTTGCATTCTCGCTCGATCTGGTCTATCTGGTTCGTCAAGTTTTTCCGATTTTTTTAAAATGTCCAATATCGTTTTATTCAATTTGATTAACTTTTTGAAATTGAAAAAACCAAACAACATTAAATTACGAACCAATTTCATCACTTCAAGAGTTAAATTGTTGATATAATCTTTATCCCCTTGACCAACCATAGTTAAATAATCCTCAACGAATGAAATTGTACTAGATAAAGCGTTTTGAACGTCTTTTCTTGCTCCATCAGCACCAACCTTCAATTTAGCCTCAACAATATCGTATTCATCAAACTCTGCCGGTGTCGGTATATCAGCCCAAACTCGTGCATATTCAATAGGTTGAATCATTACATTGGGCTTACAGTCAACGTGAAGGTGAAGCATAAGACGACAAAAAACCGCTCGAAGCTCAATTGGTAAATCTTCATCAACCATACACTGATGAATTAATTCAATTGTTAACTTTTCGGTGTCTTTAAGGTAACCAATTGCATCGTATTGCCTTTTGAAACACATTGCACAAAATAAATCCAATTGATTACAATAATATTTTAACATTTGCTCGGCACTTGAATCCTTGTTATGTGATCTTTTTGCATCGGAAACTAATTGTTTCAATGAAATCTTATTTCCGGGTCTTAATGAGTCAGGGTAAAGGTAAACTTCACCATCTTCCATCTTGGTGTGTATTAATGCATCCGGATTCTCAAAGAGTAAACATTTACAGAAACTTTCCTGAGTTTTAACTGATTCACCATCACAGACACAAAGATTTTTCAATAAATCTAATATATTTGATTTGGATTCTTTTTTGGTTTCCTTTGGTGTTTTTAAAAGTGAGATAAACAATTTAATCTCATTTTCACCCACAAATCCCTCCATAAATTGTGTGTTACCCTGAATTAATACTGTTATGGTTTCCAAAGCTGATTCCTCGGTTTGTTTATGTTCAACTTGACCAATGATAAAACTGAACCTTTTACTTATTTCCAACTGATTTTTTCGATACTCTTTCTGAGATAATTGAAGTATACGATAAGCATAACGAAGTATTTCAACCAGATAACGATTATATTCTGGATCATCTGGAATTGAATCATTTCGGATAAATGGTGCAGCCAAAAGTTCAAAGATTATCTGTAAAAGTTTCTGTTCTCGTACCAATTTTTGTCTATCTCGATCAGGGATAACCGATGAGGTACTTGGTGGTTGTGGTTTTGATTCATCTTTAGGTTGATTGATAATGAAAAACATTAAATCAAATAGTAATGATTTAAGAACTTTCCTTTCTGGTGCCGATAATGAATGATCTTTCAATTTTTCAACGGCAGTTTTAAGGAAACGATGAGCATCGTTAACAAAATCAAGATCACGAACTTCAGAGAAAGAGACTGGAATTATTTGGAAAACCTCTTTGTTTCCATTTTTTTGAACAGCGATCACTTTGGACATGTAAAGAATTGCTTGATCTTTATCCTTTTTCTGATTTGCATCGAAAAAATCATTAGTATGATGTAACCATGAACGTGTTGACTGATTAAGAATACGAACAAATGATTTATGGGGAACACAATCACCAATGTTCACCTCACGAGTTGGATGTAGACGAAATTCAATTTTATCATCATATGTTGACGATGGTACAAGATACCATTGGCTTGATCCTGGTTCAGCTAATGGGTCAGGAGCCAAACCAAGATATTTACCTGTTGATAAATGTTTAAATCGTATAGTTGAATCCCAATGGGCTAAACCGCCTCGAGGCACTTCACCTTGACGTATTTCAACCTCCCAAAGAGCTTTAGAACTAGTTGCTGACGTTGCTTCGGTTCGAGCGGTATACCTAAGGAACACTTTTTGTGACACAACCTTTTTTTTACAACCACCATCGTTAACGGTTTCCTCTAAATCGTCCAAAGTCAAATATCGAGCAGATTCAGAATGAAAGAGACGGAAAACATCACCAGCTTTGAGATAACCTTCAAGATTTTCACGGTAATCAAGGTAAAGAAGTATCTTCCAACTGGTAAAGGCATTTGAAATGTTCACCTCAAAGCATCCTTTGTGATCTGAATGCTCCCGATTAGAGGCATGTAAACGTTGAGCAGCGGTCACTGAGACAAGAAAAATCTCATCTCCATAGGTAACTTGTTCACCATTTCCACGAAATTTGAGACAATCGGTAACCCGGAAATGTGAATTATCATTACCATCACGGTCAAGTGAAACTCTCCATGCTGATGGATCCAATTGAGCAGGTATCTTGGTGAAAGCGGTAACATATTTATTATTTTTTAAATTTAATAACTGGATAACATCACCATAATGTAGTATTTCACCACGACGTGAACGATTCTCCTCTTCATTGGCTCTCTTCTCATCGGTTGCATAAACTTTCAATGTTGCCAACCTTGATTCGTTACTTGGATCACGTAGACGAGCTTCTTGAAAATCTTGTTGAGCTTCATGTTTACCAGCAATACAGATACGATAAAGGTAATCTCTCATTTTGGATGGTGTCTCAGTTAAATTACCATCACAAGTGACCGCTGCTCTTTCATCAACTGAATCAAGGGTTGTCAGGAAACCTTGAACTTTACCTTGAGCAACAAATAGAGCAATTGTATCACCAATACGAACTGGAGAATCACCGATTGTTGTTGGAATATTTGTTGAATTTGGTAATTGGGATGAAGATGGAATAGATGAATAGGAATGATGATGATGTGAATACTGTGGTTGATGAGAAAATTGCTGATGAGGATAACCATAATGAGAAAATGGTTGATAGTAAGATGATTGGTGTTGCTGTTGTTGTTGTTGGTGATGAGAAGCATATATTGAAGACGAAGAGGATGATGGACTTGTTGGTTCCATTTCCCGTTTGGATGAAAATTTCTTGGTTTTCACAGAGGAAAAAGAAGAGGAAAGACAAGGAAACGTAGAATCATCAAAACGAAAATAGGGAGAGAGAAAGAGAGAGGAAAGAAGGAGATTGAAAATGGAGAGAAGACTAACAACAAACAATAAATCTTTTCTTTCTCTTTTTCTCTATTACATTAGAAGAAGTAAATTAACTTAATTGTTGACCTTACAAAAAAAAAGAGACAAGAAAATCTCAAACCAAAAGAAAAGAGAAAGAGAAAGAGAGAGAGAGAGAGAGAGAGAGAGAAAAAAAATATTCCACAAAAAGAAAAATGTACAACAACAAAAAGAGAATAGAAAATTAAATGAACAATTGAAACAGAATTTGAGGAGAAAAAAAATCTCACAAATACACAGGAACAAAAATAGGTAAATTATAATAGAAAATATAATGAATTATAAAAAAGAGAGAGAGAGAGAAATTAACATGAAATTGGATTAATTAACAAACAATCAAAAAACAAAAAGTGATTAACATAATAGAAATGAGATGATTTCTAATACCGATTAGATTGGTGACGATGAATGATGATAATTGTTGACCTTGGGTTTAAAGGACAATACTGATTAACAGTAGATAGTAACGATAAGTAAAATATTACATTTAAATAAACTTAAGGAATGAATAACAATTTAATTGTTACAAAAAGATCACAATAACAATTAAATTAAAAATCTACATTAAAGTTAAAGGAAAAAAATGACAAATGAAAAGAAAATTAGTTCAAATTTTGTTCGCCTGATGGAGTAACTTTCGTTTTCTATTAGAATTCGACATAGAAACTGTTTCCATCTACCGAGAGGTAATGTTACTTTTATGTTATTCTCCTTCAATTTAATTTCATTTTTTAATTTTCTTTTTCTCTCTTGACCATAATTAAATCATTCCGGTTAATTAATTTTCTTTTTTTGGTTCTTTTCATTAGAATTAATTTATGGCCCTCATGTTTAAGAGAATTTAATTGTTTCATTTCGTTTCTTTTTCGGTTATTTTTTACCATCGATGTATCGGTTTTGTCTCACATGTTCCTCTCTTTGTGATGCAATGTGACGCATTTGACTAATTGTAATTTTCTGTTTTCATTTTTCTTAATTGTTTCGGGTTAATTTTCTCGGTTAATTGTCAGTTGATTGTTCATTTCTTGTTTTATTATCGATTAATTGAACTGTACAAGCTTTTTGAATTCTATTTGGTTAAAGGTTTCGCTTCTCATCTTGGTAAGTATTTTGATTGATTTTCATTTTCTATTCTCATTGACATTTAACATTGAATTTATTGTGACTCATTTTGTTGGAAAATAATTTATTAATTCTTTGTTTCTTTGCTATTTTCTATTTCTAGTTTGAATCGGATTAATTACCATTTGTTGGTGTGTTTGTTTCTTTGCCTCCTGTTGGTCCATTTTCATGGGTTTCTTTGACTTTTGAAGGGTTTTTATTTTCTCATCAATCTTTGTCTCACTCTGTTTGTTTCACCACCTTGATTTAATTTCTTACCGGTGAAAATGTCTCTGACAATTCCAACTAGATCGTTGACATTGAAATTACTATCACCTCATTTACATGGGTTGATTGTTTCATCTACTCGAAGTGCAAGTTCAACCTCGGAAGGTAAGAATTGATTGTCAATTCAACATGATCGATTTTACATTTTTCTCTCTCTCTCTCTCCTTTTCTCTTATATTCTATATGATTTTAAATGCGACTTAAATTTTTGTTTTTCTTTTACTCATATTCTTTAGGAACTTCTTCTAAAAAAACTCCATCTTTACGGCCTTTGTATCTTGATGTACAAGCGACTTCACCTATGGATCCAAGGGTCATAGATACAATGTTACCTTACATGGTCTCTCTATATGGTAATCCACATTCACGGACACACTCATATGGCTGGGAAAGTGAGGCTGCCGTTGAAGAAGCTCGAGCTCATGTGGCCCATTTGATTGGTGCCGATCCGAAAGAAATAATCTTCACCTCTGGAGCAACCGAGTCAAATAATATCGCAATTAAAGGAGTTGCAAATTTTACAAGGATAAAAAAAATCACGTAATCACCACACAAATTGAACATAAATGTGTTTTAGACTCGTGTCGATATTTGGAAAATAATGGATTTAAAGTAACTTATCTGCCCGTTCAGAAAACAGGCCTTATTGATTTAAGAGATTTGGAAGCTGCAATCACAAAAGATACACTTTTAGTCTCCGTGATGACGGTTAATAACGAGATTGGCATAATCCAGCCGATCAAGGAAATTGGAGCCATTTGCAGGGAGAGAAAGGTTTTCCTTCACACCGATGCTGCTCAGGCCATCGGAAAAATACCGTTAAATGTTGAATCTATGAACATTGACCTAATGTCGATCAGTGGACATAAAATTTACGGGCCCAAAGGTGTTGGTGCCATTTACGTACGTCGTAGGCCTAGAGTTCGAGTTGAGGCTTTACAAAGCGGCGGTGGTCAGGAAAGAGGACTTCGTAGTGGAACCGTACCAACACCGTTGGCTGTTGGCCTTGGAGCTGCTTGTAAAGTTGCCGCTCAAGAAATGGACTATGACCACAAGCATATTTCAAAATTATCTGATCGACTTATTACCAAAATATTGGACAATATTCCCGAAGTTATTATCAATGGATCTCGAGAATCAAGTTATCCCGGTTGTGTTAATATTTCCTTCTCATGTGTCGAAGGTGAAAGTTTATTAGTTGCTCTAAAAGATATTGCTCTTTCTTCTGGATCAGCCTGTACTTCCGCATCATTAGAACCTTCTTATGTATTGAGAGCTATTGGCGCTGAAGAGGATCTGGCACATTCTTCAATCCGATTTGGTATCGGTCGATTCACAACCCAAGCTGAAGTTGATTTTACTGTAGAAAAGTGTATCTATCATGTTAATAGACTAAGAGAGATGAGTCCACTTTGGGAAATGGTTCAAGATGGAATCGACATCAAGACAATTCAATGGAGTCAACATTAAACAATCAGTACTCCAATCAATCTGATGTTAAACAACAATTTAATTTTATCAAAATTTGATCACTAAAAGTTACAGTTAACAATTAATTAAGTGACTTTTAAATTGCAAGGAGTAAACTTTTACCAATTGAGTTATCAATTGTAACCGATACAATTAATAGTCCACTTTGTTTAATTGTTGATTCATCTTTCAAAGTAATCAGATAAATAGTCAAAATTATCTTTAATTGTTACATTATTTTGACTTTGATTTGAAGACAAACCAAATCTCCTTAAAAAAAGTTTATTAAACTTGTAAAATTAGTCTGCAATTAACAGGAGACTTGATAATCAAAGTTAAATTGTCTCTTGAAAAAAAAAACTTAATTGTTAAATGAAAAAAAATACTACGATTTGTATATCGATAATCAACTAACCAAGACAATTTAATAGATAACTATTGAATCTTTATTGAGAATCAATCAAATGTAATTATATATGAATAGATGAAAACATTGATTAAAGATCAATGTTTCAATTATCTGGGGAATCAATTCTCTCTCTCCCTCTCTGAATTGATTATCTTATAATCAATTTCATGATTTCAGGTGGAGTATGAGTGTATGAACCATCCAACGACCCACCATCAACCGGAAGACAAGAACCACAAACGAAAGAGGCCATTTCCGAAGCAAGGAAAACAATGGCGTTCGAAACATCCTCACTTTGTCCAATTCTGCCGAGAGGATATTTCTCTGAGACTCTTTGTCTTATCTCCGGCATGAGATGTTCAATTCCATCGGATAACATTGGCGTTTCCACATAGGCTGGACTAGAATCGACGAATGAACCAATTAATTAATCGCTTATTACTCTATCAGCGACTCAATTCATTTGCTTACCTGACGTTATTGATTCGAACACCTTTAGGTGCCAATTCCAAGGTGAGTGTTTTAACCGTCATGTCGAGAGCAGCTTTCAATGAACAATAGGCTGTACCTTTTTCCCACTACGACGAAGCAAATGAATATCGAAATGAACTTTTCTTTTTCTTCTATGTGATTATTATCAATACTTACTGGACGTTGACCAGCACAACTGGACACATTGACGATGTTTCCCTTGCTCGCAATTAGATGAGGTGTTGCCAAGTGAATAAGGTACAAAACAGCTCGTAAATTAGTTCGATAAATATTGTCCAAAGCGGTGAAAAATTTGTCCGCAGGTTCGTCAATCGCAACTGCACTGGAAATACCAGCATTGTTAACAAGAACATCGATTCGACCAAATTCACTAATTGTCAAGTTAATTAGAGTTTGACAAAAGTCTTCGGTCGAAATGTCACCAACTACACCAAGCGTCTGAACGATTAAAGGTCAATTTCGAACAAGAATAAAAAAAAAAATCAATTTCGAATTCTATTCATCTGAGTTAATCAACTAATTTAATCTTCTAATTGATTTTACCTTTGATTGGTCGGTTGTGTTGAATTTCCGACATTCGTTGGCCACTTTCTCGACCCGCTCTTGATTTCGACCTGTAACCACAACCGAAGCTCCTAATCGGGCAAAATGAATTGCATTCACTTCACCAATGCCAGAACTGGAACCTTAACCAAAAAGAAAAGAAAAGGATAATTAAGTTAATTGTTTTGTTTACCATTAAGAAATTTAATTTCAACTAAAAATAGAAACATTTAAATACAAAAAAGCAACTTAATCATTTTGTTTACCCTCTTATATGTAAGATGATTAAGTTAATTACTTACCAGTTACAATTACCACTTTACCAGAAAATGATTTACCGTCAATCATTGCGGCCATTGTTGTTAATTGTTGAAGGGCAAGAAATTAACAATCACAATTAAACAATAAGAAACAAAAAAAAATTGCGAAAATGTAAATGGTTAACTTAATACACTTTCGATGAGATTTCAACTAATATTGTGATCAGTATTTTGTTAGCAACACAATTAACTGATTGTTTCGATCTCTTGATAACAATTAATAAACAGTTGCTAATTCTCATTCATTAGTAAACGAACAATTTATGATAATAACAATTAAGATTAATTGAAACATTGACAGTTTGACTAATCTTTTAGGGATCCAAACCATATTTCCATCTGTAAATCATCAACAATTAACTGATTGTTTCAAATCGAGTTGGAAACAATCAATTGTTTAATTAACCTTCAGTTGACATTTTCCATAATAACTAAACAACAATTATCCTAATCCAGTTGTAATCCGATTGATTTTTCCTGTTGATCAATAAAATACAAACAACAATTAATCCTTAACTTAATATTTAATTGTTGGGATCGATTTTTGATCACAATTTGATTAGTTTAATAAGATCAACTCTCAATGATAACAATTAAATTGATTACCCATAAACCGATTGTCCTTTAACTCACAACTAAATATCACAAAGACTTTTACTATTGGGAAATCACCTTTATGCCCTAGGGGCTCGTTTCGCACTAAGGTCAAGGTTATTCAAGGCCAATAGCATAGGAATACATTTGGAGGTCATTTGAAGATTACTTTGTACAAAATCTCAGGTGACATCAATGTCCAAGATCCTGTAGTCCTAAGATCGTCTCCTGTTCAACTTTTGGATTGGTCAGTTTTACCTTTACCCTTTGCTTGACCCTCACGAAATGGTCTCCATTTTTTTTCGGGTCAAATGTTCAATAACTTATGAATGATGCTCTTTGTATGACCTTAACCCTTTAGATGATTTTTACAATCTTTGCACGAAAATTCGTGAATCGTACTAATTGTGTAATTAATCATTCGCAATATTAATTGTTACCTTTTTTTTATCCATTTAACTGATTGTTACAATTAACCTGAATCAATTTTCCCACAGTAATTAGATTGTTTATAAAAACGACTCTTCAAATCAATGATCATGATTAAAGTGACAATTTAGATATAATCGATGTGAATAAAAAATCCTTGGACATCCAAAGTATTTATAGAAAGTTAATCATGATTAATTTGATCTCATCAAGTTAATCATAATCATCGGAATAAAATTGAAAACTGGTTTCATTTTAATTGTTAACAATCAATGAATGAACCTGAAACATTAAGTTTGAATATAAAAATAAACTTGTAATCAGATTTTTCTAGATTAAGATGAATCTTCTCAAGTCTAGTGACCTTTTTTATAATTTATCATTAACTTTCACTCTTTATCATGTTAATTAACTTTTTCTGTTAATCAACAATTAAGAAGAAGAAAAAAAAACAGAAACATCAACAATTAACATAACGTATCAACCTTTTGTTTTTAAATCTTAACTTGATTGCAACATGATTAACATGATGATGATTGTTACCATGAAAAAAAAAATATCAATGAACTTTGTTAATTATATCTGATAAATTAACGATTAATTGTTAACTAAATTGTTTGATTGACAGAATTGATAAAAGTTTTAAACAAAGAAACAAAGTTTTAATAGTCAATAAGCTCTCAAGGGATCGATCCGATTTGTTAGTTGATTGTCTTGTTAATCAGTTAATCAACTAATCAGTTAATCATTTATGATTAATAACGAGAAAAGTTCATTCAGATTAGTTAATTGTTTCGTTAGAATAAAAGTAAAAAAAAAATAAATTAAAAGAGAAAGAGAAAGTTAATTGCCCCAAGCGATCAACAGGTTATATAACTTTTTCCCTTTTACTGTTAACGCGTAGTACGTTTTAAATGGCGGTGTAAACGGCCTGTGGCCTCAGGCTATTTACTCTGAATGATGAATAAAAATCATAACAATTAACATGGGAGGTTATGAAATCGATCGTGTAAAAAACGTTAATTGTTATCAACATAATTAATATCACAAGTTAATTTAAGTTTCACCTTTACAATTGATTAAAAACATTGTAATATTTGTTTCACTTGATGATTAAATCTTTGTGAATTAATAATCATTATGATTAAGATGATTTAATGATAATATGATGCCATTGATCTTGGAGCAATTTAATGATTATGTTAATCATTTTCTTTATTTTTTTGGTTATTAAAGCTCGCAATTTAATTGTTAAAGGTCAATGTTATCTCAATCTCTGGCTTGTAGTTGATTCAGTTACTATTAAGTGAAAGTTGTTTTATTAACCTGATATCAATCAAATATCATCCTGATTGTTGATCACTTTGGACAATTAATCAGCACGATTGAATTAAGGTCATCGAACATAATTAAACTTGTCCATTGATTAATAGACATTGACTTTTTTTTCTTAATACTTTTCTCTTTGTGTTATTATTATTATGGGATAAGTGATGTTGATGTTTAATTTGATTCGAGTTCATCTCAACTCTTTGATTATAAATTGTTATTATTAAATTGTTTCATGATTGAACAGTTTAGTGACCCTCATGATTATGTTTTCTTGATGATGATGATGATGATGGAAACTTGTATTGATCAACATGGCGCTGACTTCAAGAACCTTAACCTTTTACAATTGTAATTTGTTTAACAATTTAACTTTTGTTATCTTCATAAATTATCATGAATCTTAATCATCGTAATTGTTGCTTTCTAGCAAAACCATTAACAATTTAGCTAATTATAGCTCAGTCATTTTATAATCTGAAAAGAGATTATCGTTTACAGTCCTTGTGACAAATATATGTATATATGATATTCTTGGTGTATTGTTGTTGTTATTGTTAACATTTCTTTCATTGATATAACAATTAATTGTGTTGACAGATTAAATAATCAAAAATCCTTGAGACTTGTTTGGTTAATTGTTGAAGAAATTCATGTTTTCCTAGTTAAACGGTCTCTCTCTCTCTCTCTCGGTGTATTAATATTCCAGTTATTCCAATGGTCAAGTTAATGTTTATAATTAGCCACAAGCACTAGATTATCAAGCTAATTGTCATCAGATATTATCGTTACATGAATAATTAACCATTTCATGATTTTGCATTGCGAAAGTATTATCATTAATTGTGATTAAATTTGTTAACCTTGCAATCAAGTGAAAGTAATATAATCCTTTTGTTTATGATTCAGGATTGGTGATGATTGAGAAAATTAATTATCAGGTTTTGTAATAATAAATGGTAAATGATTTCTGGTCAGTCGATGGTCACTTTGGGAATTAGATCTGAGATTATCAACCAATCAGCGGATTATCATCAATTATCATCAATTATTTAAAATTCATTTGAATTGTCCATGAATCAGGATTGAATGCAATCAAGTGTAATAACACCTCGAGTCCAGTGATTTGGTTGATTGTTATTGGTTGATTAGTCTGATTTAAATGATACAATTTAAAAGCAACGCAACAACTTGAAGGCATCAATCAGTTGGTAAATAATATCAATTAAAGATTTAAACTTTAATTGAGCAATTTAAATGATATTTCACTTTGATGATTAATAATCCAATCCAGTTAACGGAAATACCAATTATCTGTTTAATAAGATTAACCGGATTAAGTAAGTTCCTTGTTACTCAATCAAACATTTGATTATGATTGTAGTTTATTTTCCCTTGTTGATTGTTTCACACTTAATTGTTCACAAATCTGATTAAGTTTGATTTCCTTTTCCTGGTGTTTCCCGTGATTAACAATCCAACAATCAACCAAAAATTGCTCTTCCACCAACAAGATTAACCTTCATCTTAAAGCAAAATCATTTGATTGGCATAAATATGATAATGATTAACGCGTCCAGATGATTGATTTATAAAAAACTGACCTCGACAATTAACTAACTGGAAATGATGAGACCTGAAAATAAAAATAGATGATTAGTAATGATTAACTGTAACAAGAATGTGATCAGAATATAATTAACAATTTAGAAACAATAATAATAATAAACATACCGATTGACCGAGATTGATTTTTCTTGGTGTTTTAATGAATAATTTAGATTGTTGATTAATTGTCACCCTGAAAAAACGTCGACAATTTAGCACCTTGATATTTGTATTTGCTAATCGAAAGTAATTAGTTGCTTTAAGCGAATAAGAAAACTAATTTGATTCCAATAATTTGAAATGATTAATCTGTTACCCATTAATCAACTGGATTCATCAACAGTTCCTTAATTGTGTTGATTGTTGAAAAAGAAATATAAGATTAAAAAGAAAACAATAAATTAAATTTTCATGAACTGTTTCTGATCATCATTCAGGTAAAATGATGTTTGATTGTTATAATACCATCAAAGTTAATCTAAAGGGAAAAATGTAACGATGACCACGATACGATTAAAGGTCAATTAGAATTTTTTGTTTCTCGCCATTTTCACCTGAGTGTTTATCGTTTTTTATTCTGGTGAAATCATCATCACCATCATCTTTTTGGAAAACATTTTAAAAGATAATTAACCATTAGCATCACCTTATTGATTGTAAATATCCATCTAAAGGGTCATTGTAATGACCAATACCAATATTTATATCCCGGTATCAAAGGCCGATGTTCAATCAATCGTTTATCAATTTAAACACAATTGATTCAATTGATTTAATAATAGATGATAAATGATGGTCTCTTCAGGTCGGACGAGTGCAATAACATGGTCACAACAATCAATCAACGATTTGGTAGCCAACAGATTATACAAGGTTACAAGCGTATCGACAATCACCACCATTGAGTGATAATTTAATCACCATCCTACATGTAAAATAATAATAATAATAGTAAACCATTAATTTGATTGTAAATTAAAATCAACAGGTAAATAACAAGTTATTGACAATAAAGGTTCTGACCTGGTCAGGTCAGTATAGATGTAAACTAACAATTCAATGAATACATGATAATAATGTAATCATTTAAAATCAATCTTACCTACACTTGGACTTTACATTAAACTTGTAATCAAATCATCCTATCAATTAATTATCATCATAATTAATGATTGTAATACAATCAATGAATGATTGAGTCTAAAACAAAGTTTCAAATAAGTTAATCAAATATCAATTTAACAATTGAAAGATTATTTTGTTTACCTTTTTATAACAGTGATTTTTTTTGTTCTGCTTTCTCAGTTAATCAATTAAGGTGGTTAAATTTGAAGATCATTTAGTAATCATCGTGATTATATTGAATCCAAATATTCATTTGAATGGCTGACGAGCAATCGGAAAAATTGTATCAACTGACCATCGTAATTGATAAAAAAAATGGATTCAGATGATCGATTACTTTGTCCAGAAATTATTATAATTGTTATTGGTTATATAACTAGAAAGAGAAAATAAGATCAGTGAAAATTATCATTAATCTCATTTCTCATCATCTTTTTCCAATTTCTTTCATTATCATCATCCTGAAGAAAACATAAACAATTCGTTAATTTCATAAAGAAAACAAGGTAAGAAAAAGAGAGAGAGAGAGAGAGAGAGTAAGAACCAAGGATGTTATATGTGGAAGGGGGAGAGAGAAGATGATAACTACGAAAAATAGTGAATACAATCAACAGATGATGAAGAAGACGAAAAAATTGGAAAAAGAAAGATGAACGAAATGAGTAAAACCAGAAAAACCAGAAAATTCGGTTTTCATGATAACCAAGGAGAGAGAGAGAAAGAGAGAGAGAAAGTGTGATGGAGAGAGAAAGTGAGAGTGAGAGTGAGAAAAGTAGACGAGGAAAAGCATAAATATATTGATAGTCTCCTGAAGATCCCTTGGTTATTTTAAATAAGATTGCGTTGAGAGAAACACCTTTGAACTATAAACAATTTAGAATCCGAATCACCTTGACCAGTTACCTGTCCACCGAAAAGTTAATCCTCTGTAAGAATTAATATCAATATCAATTAATCTGTGAAAAAAGAAAGAAAAATAATTATTTTACTTTGTTATATTCCAAGTTATATTTAATTGTTGTCGATTAAACGTCTCCCAGTCTTCAACAACAAATAAGTGGCAAGCTAAAAACTTGTCAGTGTTTGATTATAGCTGTTAATCATCATCATCATCTTCTTCTTAATCTTCTTCGTCTTCATTGGTTGAACAATTTTCCATTCTGTGAGTTATAACCTGAAAAATTGAGAGTCACATCAATCCTACACTTCTCGAGTTAGTTATCCAACGTTAATCATATACTTTCACTTGATTTTGTAACTTGGTTTATAACTGTTGCCGTGCTTTTCAATTAACTTTTCACAACAATTAAATCATGAATTCATCATTATTTACCCTTGTTCTCCTGGTTTTGGTTACGCTTCCATTGATTCAAAGTTATTGGGATGGTCATCGAGCCCAACGAACTGAGCCCAAGAACCAATTCAATAAGAAACCTTTGAGATATTTATACAAAAAATCTTATTATATTCCCTCCAATGATGGTATCGATTGGTCAGATCCAGATATGATGCAACATCCTATGGATGACACACCTAGAAAGGTAAGAAGAGAAAAAAGTTATTTTCTATTATTAATATTTGCTAATTATTAGTTAAATCATCAGCGCTACATGATTTGTTGTTAGTTTACTTTCACCTTGGAGTTACCTTTGATTACTTTAACATTTAGGTTGATTATCATCGCTTATTAGCTTGATATTAATTTAGAGTAAACCACATCATCATTTAATCATAATCATCATCAATTAGAAAGATGATGATGATGATGATGATGATGGCCTACTTTAAGGTTGTACAGAAGCTATTGTGTTTGAATGATGATGAGACAAGATGGTTAAAGCTGATGGTCAGTTTGTGGTTTAACAAGATGAACGATATTTCCTTGTTGAATGACTTATTGAATTGTAATCATCTTTACAATTAGAATTAAAACCGTTTCCGTGATATTGTTGATGATGATGATGATGATGATGATGATGAGAATTGGCTGATATTTGTTTCCCAAATTGATCTTTCTTTTGTCACTTTTCACTTTTATTCTCTGTTTACCTTAATATCATAATCGATGTAATTAAGGTTCCAATTTTAAGTCCAAATTTAAAATTCAGACTCTATTGTTATTCTGGTTTAATGGAACATGATTATTGCTGATGGACAATTTACTAAATTGTTTTTCGTTTGCTCTTTTTTTTTATACCATTAATTTAGACTCATCGTGGATTGGGTGATATTTGTTCATACAGTAATGATTGTGAATCAGGATGTTGCTTATTAAATCGTGAATCGGGAATTCGAAGTTGTCAAAATCGAGCTCAAAGAGGTGAACGTTGTACTTTGGCGCAAATTAAGGGTGACCTTTATGTTGACGCTTGTCCTTGTGTCTCTGGAAATGGTTAGTATTACAATCGATAAAATCAATAAGTGTGTAATCAACAAATATACACACACGCATATATATATATACACCTTGTTTCACTTCCCACGATTACATATTAATCGAAATCAAGAAGAAGAATAATCAAAGAAAGAAATCAAATCCTTAAAATGACTTTCACTTTCCAAATCAAGTTTCAAAAAGGGTAGATAAAATTTGATATGTTCTGATAATTATGTACGATAATTAATCATGGAACTGAGATCCAAATTATTTAGATCAGATTAGTTAGTTGGATTCTCCAATTTAAATTGTCAACATTGGTTTTTAATATCTTTTCATTTGTTGCTCGTCCTCAGATAATAAGTGAGACTTAAAGATGATCAAATAACAGAATTTGATTGAGAAATCTAGAAGACAAAGAAAAAAGTAATTAGAATGAGAATTAGTGAAATAAAAGAGATGGCGAAGTAAATTAATTAATTAATTTATCATTTTTCGATAAATTAATGTAACCTGATTTCCCACGTCTCTTGAGACAAAGGAAAATAAAACTTAATATAATAATGATTTGATTAACACTTTATATCAGATCGTAAAATGTTCATGTAAATGAGCACACAAACATACAAAATACACACACAATACAATTGAATTGTATGAATATCATCATCAACTACCTTTTGATTAACTATTTATCATTGAAATGAACGAGATCAACCTCATACTTATGAAATACAAAGCGCAAGGTTGATTAATCAAAAGTGTGTGTGTGAGAGAGAGAGAGAAAAGTTTAAACTGATAAATAACAAATTGTTCCAACATGATGATGATGATGATGATGATTAATGTTCTGGTTGATGTAAACAATTGGATAAAATGTTTGTAGAAGAAAAAAAAATTTTCATCATGTTTACCGGTTAATATCTTTTCTTTTCTCAAGTCGATTTACTTTGATTGTTAACAATTAGTTGTCGTTTTTACGATAAACAAGGTTAAACACCATTCAGATTATTGTGATGTGGTTGACGGATTTGAATTGAAATTAAACATGGCCATTTGTACAAGAAAGATTATCCATTTCCTACAGAGAATAAATGAAATAAAAAGCTATCAATATATAGGAAGGTCATTAAGAAGTGTTGGTTATTACATTTTTACATACATTTAGAAAAGAATATTTAACTTACACTTGAAATGAGAAAGAGCGGGCGAAAGACTATGAATTGAGGAGAAATTCTCAACAATTAAGGTTCCTTTGATTTCCTGGTATCCATGATTACATTGTAGAAATTAAGCTAATTTCAGGTTCTCTCACAATTGATGCGAAAAATTAACAGATAAGAACCGTAGGTTGATGATATCATTTGTGATGATGGAAATTGTGATTGACTCGCAACTAACCAATTCCCACACAATTTTCGCACAAAATTAACAATGGAAAATGTTCCTTAATCACTTCACCATGAAAACGAAAGAAGAAGAAGAAAAAGAAAAAAAGTCTCAAGTCAAAAGAGAAAATGAAAACAAAAAGATAAATAGTAACAATTAACCAGAGGGAAAAAATAGAAAAAGTAATTAACAAAATAAGTGAAAAGAGAAAATGAGTCAACCCGATCACCTGACGTTCGTTTGGTTGCTAAGCAACGAAAAAGAATAAAAAACAAATTCGATTTACTTTTATTTTCTTTGTTTCTAAATTTTTCTAAATTTTTCTCTGTTTTTCTTTTTCCGTTATTATTTTTATTTCTTTTTTCTTTTAGATTATTGTGATTATCCTTCCAACATTTGTCGTAAATAAGTTCTAATTTTATCGTTTGTTAAAATGGAAACGTATTTATGGTAAAAGATTTGAGAATTTTTTTTTGCTGTTATACCTTTTGTTACTATGGAGCATTTAATTTACCAACTCTAAACTTTTATATAATTTTACTTACGTAATTTTCAAACAATTTAATCATCTTTTTTTTTAATACAACACAAAACATTCAATCAATGGGTATCAACAAACATCACTCACACTCACATATATTTACAAATGGATGATGGATCAACTGACCGGTTGTTTAAATCTACCCTGAGACCAGAGTTATGACTATCATTAACTAACCTTTAGTCTTGTCCAATCTTGTGCTTTTGTGGTTAGTAACCTGTTGTCTTTAAATGTTCAAGTTAAACTTGTTGAAAGGCCTTTTACAATTTAACTAAATCACCATCTGATTAACTCAGATTACTGACTTGAACATGAAGAAAACGGAAGTTACTGGAGTTGTTTACCATCATGTCCAATTATAAGCTAAATCACCATCATCATCATCCTCATCCTCATCAACAACAACAATTTACATTCTTTTATTTCAACAAAAAAAAATTAGAAAATATATTAATATAAATATAACTGAAATGGAATGAAAGAAGTCAATGATCATCAACTTATCATCACCCTCGTCATCCTTGTCACCAACACACTTCATCTTATCGTCGTCTTCACAATTCAACAAAAAAGAAGAAATTACAATCAACCATCTCAATTCATCTTTATTTTCTTCTTCTCTTCTTTTTGTCCACCATTTTTCCAGCCAAAATCTTTTCTCTCTCTCCCCTCCTTTCCTTTCCGTCTTCTTCTTTTTCCCTCAATTATATTATTTTATTATTCTTTATACATATTAACACCTCCACTTTACCCTCTTTCACCCACTTTCCGTTTCAATCAAGTTTACTGAATGATTCCAATTTCCAATTGATCCAATCCATCTTGATTTCTTCTCTATTCTTGCTCGTCTTCTTCTCTCTCTCTCCCCTCTCTTTCCAGTATCATCTTTGTCTTCTCCCTTTGAGAAAGTGGAAGATATCAGCTCATTTCCTTACCGAATCAGCCATGACCCAGATTAATTTAAAATATCTACACCATCTCAGCGTCTTACATCATCAACCACAACCACAACAACAACAACAACAACAACAACAACAACAACAACTACAGGCAATATTGTGATTAAAGGGATAATATCACAACAACAATCGTCCAGTAATAATAATAATGATGATTAGAAGTAAACAAAACCTTTTGTTTCACTAATCAACAGGCCAAACTTAGATTTTATCATCAACACTTGATTGTCTTTAACCAATATATCTCCCACTTTCATCAAGCTCTGTCATCTTAATATCCACTAACCAATTGAACAACAATCAACTATAACTCCCGTGTTGTGGATATATTATCAATCCTTTCAAGAGATCATCAAATATTCAATTATAATTATCCCTCCGTCATCATCATCATCGTCATCATAGTCTAACCTGTTTACCGAAACAAAGAGATCCCATAACAAGCCAACTCACTACTACACAATAGATTCAATAAGAAGAAGAAGAAGATGACAAATAACCAGAAAAAAAACTACAACTAAAAGAAATCAAGAGAACAATTAAAAAGAGGAATCATCGATTGGTGTTAATCATCTGATTAACTTTTCCACAAAAAGAAAGACGAAGTTAATTCATCTCGATATTTGTACATATAAACATTTTTTTTATGATTAACAATCATTAAATATTTTCATCTCATATTCAATCATCAATGAAAATATTATATTTCTGATTAGTTAATCTAATTTCAGGTTTCGATTAACAATTTCAGATTAACTTATCCTTAATTTGCAAAGTTAATTGTAGAAATTAATTGATGTCGAGGCCGAGAATCAATTTCAATCTTATCAAGGATATTGAAAGTTAATCCAAACAATCAATTGAATCAAAAAGAAACGATGATGATCAAGGAAAATCAATTAAATCATATTAGAGAGATAATTTGATTTAACTTATTTTTTTTCGATTAATTTTTTAATTTCATCTCAGTGTTTACAATTAACTGTTAATTGTTCCATTGTTTGGTTAATTGTTGTAATCGTATCAAATTTTAATACCTGACGAGTTTGTGATTCAATTAAATCGTATTGACCCTGGTACATTTGAAGAGATAAATTAACGATTAACAATTAGTGATTCTCATCTGATTAATGGTAATTAACTTACCAGGTAAACTTCATTATAAATAGTTCGTGTTGAATTGATTAGGATGTAATTAGTCAAGTTGATTGTTGAATTAACCTGAAAAAAAATGATCAAATATGTTAACTAATTAGTTGGATTAATTAATTGTTACAATTTACCTTTTGTAACATATGAATTATATTAACTCTGTCATATTTAATTCCGTTAATTGTTTCCTCGTAATTAGTTGATTCCCAAGTTTCCAATTCTCCCTGAAACTTTAATTTTTTTAAATTATTAGTTAATTGTCTCAGAGTTAATTAGTTAATTACTAACCGATGGGAATTGTCCTCTATACTTGAGATCATCTTTAATCCAGAATAGTTGATTAACTTGATTTAAATAATCATCCGAGTTAATTGTTGACACAGAACATGTAGACTGATTGTGATTAACATTCTGATCATTGATAATTGGATTAATTATCGTGATAATTTTATCCCAATTAGCGTAAATCTAAATGAAAAGACAAAAGCAAAATACAATTAACCCCAAACAAACAATTAGTTAATTATATTACTAAACAAACCTCAATATTAATTTTATTTTGCTCCTCACTTGATTTAGATGATGTTTCAATTGATTTGAAGCTTAATTGTTGAGAATTAAACAATTGTGGAAACAATTTAGTCTCCTCAACCAACGATGGACATCCCAAGCCAATTGGTGGCTAATTAAAAAGAATCAAGTTAATTTACCTTAAACAATCAAGGAAAACGGGAATAGTCGGAACTCAAAGAATGGCCTGTGACCACAATTCCCTACGCTGATTACTACGCAATTAAAAGTCTTTAGGAATTTTATATTCGTTGGTCAATATAAGAATCGCTGGAAATATTATTCAGGTCAACTGAGTCGCTTTTCGGCATCTCTCAGAACTAACACTCGACTGAAAAGGTCACTATTCCGTCGATGGAAGTTCGTCCGATACTTTTTTGTCACATTTCGATTTCAGTTTTCAGTAGAAATCTAATTGATAATCACTCTAATTAACCTTTACGAGCATAAGAACTTTGTAAATATGATATTCGATATGAGTCTAGTTGGTGATGTTCATTGATTATCAATGAATTAGATTAGTTGATTAATCAAGCTCACTTTAAATTCAATATCATGATAACTTTCCGGGTTCAATTTTGTTAACGATATTGAATTGATGACAATTAACTCATCACTTGGTAAATCCGTTAATCCATATTCAGGTCCATCAACTGTTCCCGATAAGATAATCTCATGAGGAACAATAAAATCAGAATCAGGTTGATTAACTAAATACAAAAAAAGAGAGAGGTAACAATCAGTTTAAATGATTAAATTGTAGCCAATTTAGTTAATCACTTACCCGCCGGTGATTTTTTACCATAAATTGTTGTTATATTAAGTTTATTTTCATCAGTTTTTGTCCACTTGTTAATTGTTGTTATATTGCTCCCTGAAGTCTACAATTAGATTGCAAGGTTAATTGTTACTCAGAATAATTAACTAATCATCTTACCCAATTTAATGAATCATCTTTTAATCTCAATATTATTGAAGGTCCAGTGATTAAGATTGAATTTAATAAATTACCACCATCAACAATTAACGAGACCAACTTTCTGTCCATATAATAACAATAATTATCTATCACAATCAATTAATTGTCCAGTTAATTAATTTAAATTGTTGCCAACAATTAATACTTACATTGGGTTAAAACTAAACGTTTATTATCATCAAATTGATTGTGATACAAACTAATTGTTTGATGGTTTTGATGAATTATTATTTTACCATAAGATGACATTGAATCCAAACAATTAAGAAATTCAATTGTTTTGTAAGTTTCATTGTTAACCTGTAATAAGATTGATTAGTTAATTAGTAAGATAAGATTTTAGGTACACAATTAAGTTGATTGTTACTCTTACCTTGTTAATGATTGTCGCTTCAATTTTGTATTTACCTTTGGGTTGATTAATATTCAATTTACTTAATGATGAAGCTAAATGAAAATCAAACAAATTAAACAGTTAATTGTGATTAATTGTAGCTAGTTAATTATCATTTCTTACCTGTGATTCCTTGACAGGAGTAAATTGTTATCAAAATGATTTGTATTGTAATTAACTTGATTAAGGTAAACATTGTAATGATTAGTAAACTAACTTAGTTAAATGAACTTTAATTTTGAAGTTAATTGTCTTTAATTGTTGTTGTTTGTTGAGTGTCTTTATTAATTGAATGAATCTTGTTGTCACTTGTGTTAATTGAAAAGTTGATTTTCTAGTTAGTTTTTAGTAGAACCAGTTTTAATTGTGATTAGTTAACTAAATCATGTATCCTTGATTGTGATTGTCAGATTAGATTGTTTCAAATTTTCACAATTTATTAACTAACTTGAAACAATCAGGTAATGATAATATCCAGGGCATTAATTTTTGATTTATTCAGTTAATTGTGAAAATATTAATAAATTATAACAGTTTTTACAGAATTAGTTATTTGAACAATTAAAATTTAATCATGATTAGTATCCAAATATGTCTTCAAATTGTTGCTCCTCTGGTGATGAATTAGTATTTCTTTTAATTGTTGACTTTTCAATCAAATCAATTGATTTGGTAACAATTAAGCTGCTTACAAAACCAATTAACAGACCTGTTAATATGTAGATTATAATTAAATCCAATTTAAATTGTCCAAATTGTACAATCAAATTGGTTTCAGTTGATTTTGGCTGATTGGTTTCATTAGATTTCAAAATTAACTCATAATTGTGACAATATGTTGATTCAGTTAATTGGACATTTTTTTCATCGTTAATTGTGAATTTTGATAATGAACATGATGATGAGCCTGATTTTGATTTGCTACAATAATTAAATGATTTGCATTGGTCAGTGTCCAGTCCAGAGCACAGAGATGCACATTGGTCAAGGTTAAGGTTAAATTCAATTTGATTGGTGTTCACAATTATCTTTGATCCAGTTCGTTGATAATTATCTGATTGTTTAGCTACAAGAAAATAGTAAAAATAATTAAACACAACAATCAACTGATTATAACTAAACACTTACGAATATAAATGTCACAATGATCAGAGGTTTGAGTTAATTGCTCTGAATAAGGGCCAGTTAAATAGCAGAAACCATTTGATGGACAAAATTGATAAGAGTTACAATTAACTTGATTGTCAAGACATAATGAGGCACAATCACTTGATTTAATCACTTTGACTGGAGTTGAATTGATTGAGTTAAATTGTCTCAATTTAATTTGATGAAATTGTGTCTCAGCGTTTCGATGATAAGTTTTACAAGATTCATTGGAAATTATTAAATTTGATTCACTTGTGATCCTTTTGCTTGACAATTTACAGATAATTTGATTGTTCACTTGACAATATGAGAATGAATTACAATCAAGTTGACCACATGAACGATAACAATCACTAAAATAGCCAATGGTCAAGGAAGAGATCAAATCAAAGTTTTCATCTTTTAAAACGATTCCTTTAATTGGTCCAATAAATTCAACTTGTTTATCGTAATTAAAAGATGACCAATCAATTATATCATTAATTTGAAGAGGAAAATATTGACCATTGGTCATTGGAACCTTAATTGTTGAATTAGAACTTGATTTCAACAGATAATCATGAACTGAATCCAATTTAATTTGCTGAGTAAATTGATGTAACCTTCCCAATGGCGATTCGATGACCAAACAAAATTGACCGTTCGAAAGGTCATCGACTAGTTGATCGCCATCACCGACACTGGAGCAAATAATTTCATCCTCTGAACAATAAACAACAGCTCTAAATAATCAAACAATTAGAATGACAATTAAGAAAATTAATCGATCACAATTACCTGATTCTCTCATCAAATGAAGTCTCTACTTGGAGACACTTTTCAATTGTATCGACATGGACACTTGATGATTTACGAATTTTTGAAATGTCCAATCTTCTTAATTGTGTTGGAAAAACATCTAAATAAGGAAGAAAACAATTAGAAATGATAACAATTAAGAGAAAATTAATTCACCTCCAACAGATGGAGCTTCAAGCAAATTAATTGTTGCGATAATTAAATCAACTGATTGTAATTGTAAATCAATTTTCTCAATTCTTGTTGGTGAAATTTTCCCATTCTTGATAATCTCATTTTCCAATGAACTTTTAATCTCCTCGAGATTATCCTCAATCAATTGATTAGATTCTATTTGATAAGAGGAAAGAAATAATTAACTAATTGATTGACAACAATCAACAGAAACAACTAATTAATCAACTCACCAAAATGTTCAAGTTTAAAGGTTAATTGTAAACGTTTTCCAAACGGACAATTAAATGATTTCATCAGTGATTTTAATTCACTTTCAATGAAATCACTTTGATAATCATAAATGTCTCGTTCAATTTTCATCTCTAAATTGTAATTACCCTGATGATGATTAACGAAATACAGTTAATTAACTAATTTTAACCAATTAAGCTCAATTACCTTAGTATCCTTATTGTAACAATTTAAAACAATAGCCAATGGTAAATAGTGTTGACCATTACTTGACCATCCCAAGTCTTGAATCTAATTGGTATTGGTTGATTAGTAAACTACAATTAACTGATTGGTGATTAATTACCGTTTTCTCCAAGTAAATTGTTACCACTAATTTATCACAATTAACTTGATTAAAGATGACATTATATTCAACTGATTCCCAGGCATCAATGGTAAAAGCTAATCGTGATCTCTATGGATTAAAGTTCAACAATTAGTTGATTGTTGTTCATTTATACTTTTAAATATTAGTTAATTACATAATTAACTTGACCAAGATATTTAAATGGTCGTCTCATCTCAAGCAATTTATATAAATCAAATCGATCAGCTTTGTAATCGTTTACAATTAAACCCGGACCATCAGAATCAATTGGCTTTAATTTACAATTTAAATTGTTACCATAATCATAAATTATATCTAAATTGTAATCAAAAAGTTTCATTGATTTATCAGCATCTGAAATAATGGCCATTAATTGTTTATCATCATCAGCATAAATCTAATTAAATACATTAATCACTTTGGGTTAGATTGTAACAATTTATTAATAGTTATTACATTTAATTGTCTTACTTTGAATGAGGAAATTGTTTCAGAATTAAATTTAATCACTTTCTCCTTGATTGTCATTTGTATTTGTTGACTTGTTAATTTTGGTAATAATTTAATTGGTTGTAGTTCAATTGGACATCCAATACCTGGAGTTATCTAAAGGATGTTGATAATTAAATTGTTCACAATTAAGGTTAATCATATCAACTCTTACCTGTGACTCGACTTGATTATAATCTGTGATTAAATGTAAAGTAATGTCCATGATTAAATTGTAACCATCAAATTGTATCCGATTAGGTTTAATTAAAGCTAATTCAATATCAGAATTGACTGATTGATGAACAAAATTAAGACATTGGTTAATTTAATTAGCTGTTTAAACCTTAATTGTTGCCTTACATTGATGGTAAATTGTGATTCTCAATTTAGATGAGATATCTCTTGATGTACTGTCCATCTTGACCCCTTTGACCATTGGACTTGAATCTCCTTTAGCCTAATTAGAATGGTTGATAATTAATACAATTTGTTTGCATTTTTTTTTCCAATTTAATTGTTTACAATTAACTTACAAAAGCACTTAAATCATTTTGAAGTCTATAAACTAATGAAGGTCCAACCATTAAGATTGTATTGGTCAGTGAACTACTGACCCCAGGTAACATTTTATCCCAATGCTCTTTACCATTGAACTCAAATAGATCACATTGATTGTCTTTGTTTTGGAAAAATTAACAATCAACTAATTGTTCACTCTAATGTTACACAATTAAACTTACCATGAATGACCAATCGCTTGTAATCATTGACCGTCTCATAGTAAATATCAAATGAACTTTCATCCGATTCAACATGAATTTTTCCATGAATCGAATGATCAGTTGAAAGATATTCTTTGATCTTCCAATTTTTACCATTAATCTGAGAACAAGTCAACAATTAGTTAATTGTCTTACTAAATTAGAATTTAGTAATCACTAATCAAATGGTCACTTACAGTGTCCGTTAAAGTTGCATGAATAATCACATTGGATCCACTGGTCACTCGTAAGGGAAGATGCATAAGAGAAGCTGCAATTAAGGTGATTAGGTTTAATTGTTGACGAATTGCCGGTTAATAGATCATTACCTGAGTCGATTAATTGAATTAACGATGAACACATGAGATAATAGAGAAACATTTTTGTCGATAAATTAATTTATTGATTTACTTAATTAAACACATATAATGGTGATTAACTATTCATGAGAAATTCATTAATTCATCAATTGTTGGCCAACTAATTAAGTTTATTGA